TTATCAATCATTCTATTCCGTGTATATCTGATTGATGACTGCGTAGCCAGATTGATAAGGTCAGGAAGGCTTTGTCAGGAACCGGAAATGCAGATACTGTAGACCTGTTCATGGTTTTCAACTCTTACAATTTTCGAGGCCTGGTTCTTTGACAAAGTAACACATTTCATCACAGTGCAAAGTTGTTGTCTTGAGCCATTACAAATATAATCTTAAAATTGAAACTTCAATATAACAGTGTGACTATACTGCTCCAAACAGTATTAGACATCAAAGTTGTAGTCGCTCTGGCCATGATATGAAAGGTTTCTTGTTTGAAATCTGGGTATACTTTTGAAAGAGTGAAAATGGATTTTACGATGAATCTTATAGTAGCCGAACTATGTGATTCTCACATTGCAATACTAGTGCCGAAGCTCCGTTGAACAAGACAAAAGTAGTGATTGCGACGTGATTCTTCTTTTTATAGAAGTGGTAAGTTTCAGGTTCCTACAGAATCCGCTCTACTATAAGCTATGCTGGCATTGTGTCCGTGAAACGACAAAATAGTCAAATCCTTCGCATGGCTAAAAAACGGTTGCATAAAGAAATGAAAGGCTGAGCGAAAGGGAACCGGCACGTTGCAATAAGAATTTCAAAAAGTAGTAGAGGAGAAATTTTGCACACAAAGGTCATTCATTTCCTTCTTGTTTTCTTCGGAATGATTCATTACAGGAAGTAGCAGGCAATCAGGTTCAGGCAGTACAAAAATACGGTACAGTAATTTCTCACACGGAGACTGTATTTTTTACCGTTTATTAACAGGGCTTCATCGAAAACTGCGCTTGAGACATCAGCCGTTATTCAACGGCAACATTTGGTGGTCCCTTATGTAATGCAATCCATTCCCACAGTAAAACTTTAAAGTTAAATGATTTAAATAGGCATATAGGCAAGGACCTTCAAAGTTCTGACATTTTGGAACTTCTGATGACGTTCTTTGAGAGTTTCGAAGTTGCAGACCCTAATAGCCCAAAAATTGGGGTATGGCTGCAATTGCAGATGTCATGATCATTCGACCATGTTCGCGCAATAAACCGTGAATTCGTGCGCATGTGGATTACCACCACATCGAGAAGTTACCACCACATCGATGAAGCTGCCATCGTGATGCCATTCCTCTTCCATGTTCACAACTTTCTGTGATTCTCTTGTTCGCACCCTCCCCCCCCCCCTTCATAATAATCTTCTCAATCTTTTGTGTTTTCGCTCTTTTTCACCTCAAACACTGTTCTGTCACGTTCTTTCATAAATAAAAACTTGAAATGTAAATAAACAAGAAAAATTAATTTGAAACGATACCTAGGCAACTCTGCGACCATCTCCAGCGCTGGCACAATGAAAGGATTTCTAAAGCGACAGCCAGCCGGCGCTCGCACTCGAGGCTCACAGAGGTGTATCTGAATTCGACAGTCAAATTACTCGAAGGACGCGACAGTAGAAACAACCATTACAATAGAAAAAAAAAACTACTGGACGAGCCCACAACAACTCACGTGCAACTGCGTCCTCTGAAGTGATGCTCGCATCTTTGCCAATTCCGCTTCAGGATCCCTCATAGTTTCCGCCTCGCGACGATCTCTTGTAGCAACACGCATTCCTGTCATGCCGGCAGTGAAGTGGTTGCCAATTCGCGTGACGGTGGTATGAGAGTACGGTAAAACGTTCAACAGCACGTACCTACTATTTTTGGCACTACTTAGTGGTCACTTTGAAGAATACGCCAGAGAATAATCATCGAGCCCCAATGCCCCCCCCCCCCCCCCCCCCCCACCCCCCCTCCTTGAATCCCTCGATGTGCACCTTGAAACCAAATTCCCAACATAATTCCTCACCCAAAATAGACAGCAGACACTCACGATCGGCAGGGAGCCATGTTTTGTTGCAGTAATACGGACAATGTCGTACACGTCTTCTCAAACTCTTCCTTTCCTTGCGTCTTCAGTTCATTCAAATAATTGAGCAGTGCTGCTGGATAAACTTGACTCAAAGAGACACCTCGCTCATCCAGCAAACTATTTTCATTCAATTTTCGTAAGCAAGCATTTCGGAGCGCGCCTGGCAAAAAAAAGAATTGTTATGGATCAGGCAGAATCTCTCGCGGTTCGCGTTTCACGAAAAAAGCATATAGTGGAAAAAACGATATAAAATCACGCACGTAAGGTAGTCGCGCGGCATAGCTTCCACCCATAGACGATCAAATCCGGACGCATTGCCACCATTACGAACTCGGGGATCGTCTTCTAAACAGCTATACAGCTTACAAACGTCATAGTTTAGAAAAAGCCATAGGACGGTTCAATTATGCATGGGAACACTAAGGAACACACAAATAGCCGTTTGCACTTTGTCAGGCTATTAACAATCCTATATTGTTCAAGTGGCTCTTCAGACAGCCTAGAGATGGTCTCATATGCTCGTATTGAAAAATGCAAAATCTGCATCCTTTGAGACAAGTATGACCGCATAATTTTAAATTGCAATAATGCGTAAAAATGAGAAAAGTAAACTACCTTGCTATTCCTCAGCAATTTGCACAATGACAGGATAGTTATATGGCATAATGATTAGGTTTACGAGCTGCCCATTCGATGCTGTCTTCAAATACCCGAACGGTTTGCCAACCCCTTCCGTTCTACTGGAAGATCGAACAAACACGTATAAATAACGTTTTCGAAGTTGATTAGGCTTCCTTTGACAAACTATTATGATGATTTGCCCATAGCAGACTCTGGTAACCAACAAAATCTTAAGACTTTTAAGGTCCTGAGGGTTCTTGAGCAACTGAGTTGGTGGCAAAATTACGAAAGCAAAAACTAATTTGTCAGCAATCTTGACGTAAATTGTTTTTGATCACGAGCAACGGGCCGCCGCTCTTCCATTTTGCCAGTAAACGCATATTTCAATAAGCGAATTCCTACATTCAACTGTTCAGACTTACCTTATGCGAGTATTACAAGAACTATTGGCGTAAGCTGACGTATTCTAAGCAATATTTATTACTGGAGGGATATGATGATTGATGCTCTAGCTAGGCATACGACTTGGACTGGGTACCCAATTTTTCAATAGCGTGTCATTACTTTGCTTAAGATCGCAATCTCAACGACTACTTTCTTCACCTCGCCGCGAGCTCCTTCAGTGCAATACAGCGAAACCAGTACGAAAAGAGGTCGTGCAACCAAAAACAAGATCCAAAAACCCACTAACTTAGAGTAACTCTGCAATATATGCAGTGATTTCTTCTCTTTGCAACCTAAACAATTATAAAAGGGTGTGGACAATTGCCAATCCTTGGTCGATCACCGGGAAGCTTCCAAATTGGTCGATCAGATTTATGGACGTGCACAGGGTGAGCCACACCTGAGCTTTATCCGGTGCACAATATGCCTTTACTATGTGAACAGTAGGAGCAGTCTTTCGGTAGCTAAACCATGTCGGACAACAGATGGCACTGTCCTGCATGTCTTACAGATTCACATGCCCACGGAAATTACTGGCGGATGTCGTGGGCACTGTCTGACGTCTTCAAAATGTTTGCCAGAACAGAGCGGCAAAACAACGCACAAATCCAGAACCAGATCAGGGTGAGGTTATTTTACGGTTTTTGTTTTTAATATCATGTTGGATTAGATCATATACTACGTAAGTCACCCTTCAGTCATACTCTTCACGAGGTATTGGCCGAACAAGTAAGCGAGCACTGGGAGGGGGGATAGCCAGAGTAAAATGGGGCGCCCAAAGTAGGTTAGTAGGCACTGGGCGATTACCTATAGTCAGGAAATGGCCCGAGCCTGTAATTCACAATAAGTATAGGGAACTGCATCCGAACGCCACAACACACGAATAAATAACCTACTTCCTACTAGAATGCCATAGAACGTCACGACACATTACTTTCGCTAGAAAACAAGTATCGGGCTCTACCTCGAGGAGAAAGTTTAAAATTGCCCTACAGAAGTCAGGAGAGAAGGAAAAAGTTCAATAACCATGGTCACGATGCGAAAACGCAAGAGATTTTCTCTTTCTGCGGCAAAGACGAAGTTAGATTGTACGTACTGGTACGTGATCACTGCATCCGATCAAGATTCAAGTACAATTCTAAAAGTAATCTGGAAACCATACGCTAGCGTGTTTAAGTGAGGCAGAAGTATAACTTCGTATAATGTATGCTATACGAAGTTATTACATATTTACATGTAAAAGGAACTCACTTGATAACACATATTCGTCGATGTGCTTGCATGCCTATCCAAAACATATTCCGCTACTGGACTCGGTTCGAGCTGATACTTATCAAAAGGCAGATCCGTTTGAATCGTCTAAACATTTCACAATTACGGTTACAAGAAAAATTGTTCCTATGACGAGAACGCATTATGGCAAATTGCTTCCAGGGTTCATTCAGAGTGGACGCAGGATTCACTTCAAAATAACCTACTGTCACAGTATGATCCATAAGTGTGACTTAATAGGTGACAATGAGAAAAACGACATGGCAAATGAGACTAGACAGATGGGAGATACAGATGGGAAATATTAAATGTGGAAAGCTCCTTTATAAGAATTAAGATAAGAAAGGTAGAGGGGGATAAAAAAAAGATCATCAGACAAAATCGCAGTGCAATTTATGAAAAGGAATATAAAAAGATTGGGAGGGTTGAGCCTAACCAGAGCCTCATGCCAGAACGATGATGGAACGTGACTAAGGATAGCCCATGTTTCAAAAACGGCAAAAAGGGAAGGAATAGGGAGCAACTTCACACTTAACACTGAGTGCCAATGAAAGTTATGCTTTCAATTGCGATAGTTTAATGAAGCAGCATCAAAAATGAGACTCATTATAGACGCACATCTAATCATATGGAAATCTACAGGACAATTCGAGGATAAAACTCGAAAAATCGCTCATGCAAGCTATTCCATAACCATGCCAAAGCTTACCGGAGCAGGCACAGGATCGATTGAGAAGACAATACAAGGATGAGCCCGACGTGGAGGTAGCTGCCCTTTTCTGAAAACGTAAGTGAAATGAGACTGCGTTTCTGTGAGCACACAGCAGGTTCGCTATCGGATGTAATAATACTGTGCAGCTAACAGTTTAAAAAATTACTCGATACGGTCATGCCAGAAGGCCTCAGGAATGGGCCAATGTCCTGTTGGAGGTCGTTCCACCGAGACCTTTGACGTAGACAAGTGTTAACGGTTTTGCTTCCATATGGCTCTTTAAGCGCAGACGAGCTTTATCTCGATCGGTCATATTCTCTTCATTCGTCTCCCTTATAACTGTAATAAGCGATATTATAGACCATGAGAAATATTCCTTTAAAACGAACTGCAAACTTACTCGCAAGGGTGGGACACTCAAAACGGACAATAATACCATTCAACTGGATAGCCTGCACAATTTGATCAACCATTGGTCCGATTAGTTTATGGGATTGGAGTAGATATGAGCGACCTTGACACAAAAACTTCATGTGAAACACTGACGACAATAATTTGAAAGGTGCAAAAATAGCTAAAGTTCTAACACATCATTTAAGGGCATTTCCGCATATCTGATAACTAGCAAAACACACGCTAAACCAGTCCTACACTTCAACTTAAGACCTGAGGGCTCATCAGGATTTGAATTCCATTAATTCTGTCTAGAGAAACTAAACGGATTCTCCGGTGCAATCCTGCCTTATTGAG